GGGCTCTCAGCCTGGCCTGGCACAGAGATGCTCCAGCCCCTCAGCATTTCTAGGAGTGAACCCCCTGATTTATCTGCCTGCTGAGGGACACGGGAGTGCCCAGGCTGTGGGGCCAGGGGTGACATCTCCACACCAGCACCACCAACTAATCCCTGCCTCCCACTCAACCCACAGCTCTGGCCAAGGTGTAAAGCCAAGCCAGGGGTTGGCAGCTGAAGATGAGGTGTACCCATGGTCCCTAGAGGGAGCCTGGAGGTCCCAGTGGTCCCCTCTGAGGGCCACCAAGGGTGACACAGAGCTGCCACCCCTGTGGTGCTGGGGGAGTTTGTGCCAACCACCCCATTCAGAGGTTTCTGCTGCTGGTAGCTGTGGTACGCTCAGCCAGCCACATTTCCTCTCAAAATTTGGTTTTTCCAGTTCACATCTCTGGGCTTGTGGTCTGCAGCTTGGTCATGAGCCTCTAGATGTGACAAGTCACCGTCAGCAAACCCCACCAGAGGTGAGCACGGGCCTGTACAGTCAGCAAGCTGAAGCAGGAGGGAGGTGACCTTGTGGTGTCACACGTCATGAAGGGGAAAACCTGGGGTGGCCAGTGGGGCAGGAGTGAGCTGCTGGAGGTACAGCCCCTGCCCTGTGCTCCTGACCTCTTCCTGACCCACTGAGAGCAGCTCTGAAATATTTCTTTGGCCCTGGCACCCAGAGATTTCAGGGGGTTTGGGTTCAACCTTCTGTTCTCCTGCAGGCTATGGAGGGTCCTCTTCCATAGTTGATGTGCTTCAACTGAGCTGCCCAAGACATCTGCCCCCAAAGTGCTGCCTATTCTCCTGGCAGAAGTCATGGTGGCTTGCTGGGATGTGACATGTGGGTTGTGGTTCTTTGCTCCTCTAGGTTCAAAGTGTTTGAGCAGTTTTGGGTCCTGTCTGCTCTGGAGTTTTAATTCCATGTGTTGTTGGAGGTGTGAAAGCTGCAGAGTTCAGAAGAACTTAGAAGGATGTGGAATCCAAGCCCAGCCTCAAATCAGAGATATCTTAAAGATCATAGAATGTTTGGGTTGGAAGGAAACTTCATGTAAAAGAGGGAATCCTTGCTGAGGTTAGAAGCCACAGAAGGCAGCAGATGTGGGTGGAAAGTGGTGGCCAGGGCTCGTAACCCAGTAGTTGGGGTGGTGATGATGTCATTGTTACATTGCACGTAGCCCTTTCCACTTGTACCTGCAAAATCCAACCCATTTTCATGGCCATGCCCTTTCCCTTCCACTGCAAGAGGGGGGAAAAAAAAAAAAGAGGGGGTCAGTTTCTGTGCTATAAAAGTGGGTTTCTGCTAAATTTACCCTCCCTTGGTCTTCCACATTCCATGTTTCAGTAGATGTGTTTGTGGGTGCCTAGATGTGAGCAGTCAGAAAAGGAACGTGCGTCACAAAGTTGGTCTTGCCTCAGGTGAACTCGGCAACCTGAAAGAAGAAAGAAGTTGTGTGAGATGAATTGCAGGTCTCTGAACTGTCTGTCGGGTGGAATCAGACCACAAAATCATGACAACATCCTGCAGTGACATAAAACAGCAGTAGATGGAGATTTCTGCTGGGGTGATGACTGTGATTCCTCAAGAGAGGTGACAGAGCTAGGACCAGATGAGTCCATTCAAGTTGGAGAATGTCATGGATCTGTCTGAGGCTTCTGGTTTCCTGGCAAATTCAAAACATCATGAATCTGTTGATTTTTTCTGGAGGACTGGAGATGAATTTGTGTGCAGTCCCGCACTTAGGTCTTCTGCTGGCTTTGGGAGAGGCTTCTCCTGGGGCTTTTCTCTACAAAGAAGCTGATCAAACTGGTAACACCATCTTATTCTGCAATAAAAACAGCTTTTACACTCAAAGAAAGCTGCTGATGGAAGCAGCACGTGCACTGGTCTTTCCCAACCAGTTTGTCCTTGGTCCTGCTTCTCCCTTTCCTTTCATGGCTCTGTCCTCTAACGATGAAATGGGGATTTTTAGCTGCTCTGATTAAGAGCCAAACACAAAGGAACTCCCACAAACAAAGGAGCAGTATCAGGTGGAGGAACCCAAATAATGTAGTGTCAAGGGAGACCTGGACCTGGCTCTTTCAAGGCTGTCCAAGAGGGATCATAGATGGTCAACCCAAGGATGGCCAACCCAAGTGCAGGTGGGAGGCCCACAACAGGTTGTGACAGGAAGTCATAGATTATTTTGATTGGAAAAGACCTTTAAGATCCATCAGGTCCAATTGTTCCTCCAGCACTGCCAGGTCCCCCCTGCCCCTTGTCCCTCACCCCACATCTCCACAGCCTGGAAACCCTTCCAGGGGTGGGGACTCCACCACTGCCCTGGGCAGCCTGGCACAGCCCTGGGCAACCCTTTTAGTGAAGAAATTATTCCTCAGGTCCAACCTAAACCTCCCCTGGAAAAACTTGAGGCTGCTTCCTCTTGTCCTAATGCTTGTTGCTTGGGAGAAGAGCCTGACCCCACCTGGCTCCATCCTCCTGTCAGGAGCTGTGGACAGCATTGAGGATCCAGGTGGACCAGTGAGGAGCAAACAGGAATTAGAGTCTTTTCATTGTCCATCCTAAATGCAAATGCTTCAAGGTCTAAGGACCAGCAACTGCTCCTTGTGCATCAACGAGGAAATGCCAAAGACTTCAAGCTGGACTAGCTGCAGGTGTTGGAGGAGCCATAAATCTGGAGAGACCAAAGGGTCTGCAGACTGGCTGCTGGGCATACTGGGAGATCTAGGTCAGTTACTGGAGAGATGATGGGATCTGAGGGTTGACTGCTGGCAAGGTCTTAAGTCTGGTGCAGCTGCCAGGGAGACCCACTGGGGTGTGTGTGTCTGTGCATGGAGCAATGGGGAGACCAAGGGATCCAGGGGCAGCTACTGGAGATATGGTCTAAGGACAACAACTGGAGGGATCCTTCTTGTCTGTGTGTGTGATCTGTACCTGCCTTCCACTAGCAGACTTGCCTCCTGATCAGCCAGAGAGGGGAATGAGCTGAGGCCATTGGTCTTGGGTGTGTTCTCTTGGGTGATGTTGTGACCAGCAGGGCAGGGAGGGGATCCTGCCCCTCTGCCAGCTCTGGGAGACCCCCCTGCAGTGCTGGGGCAGCTCTGGAGTCCTCAGCACAGCAGAGCCAGGGACCTGCTGGAGCGGGGCCAGAGGAGCCCCAGCAATGCCCCGAGGGGGGCACCCCTCTGCTGGGAGCCCAGCAGGAGAGAGTTGGGCTGGGGCAGCCCCAGAGGAGAAGGCTCCAGCTGGGGAGACCTGCTGGGGGCTGCCAGGACTGCCAGGGGCCTGCCAGAAACCTGGGGAGAGGTTTTTGAGCAGGACCCTGTTGGGACAGGACAAGGGGTGGAGGTTTGAAACTGAAAGAGGGAGATTTGGAGTAGATGGAAAGAAGAAATCATTTATGCTGAGGGTGTTGAGCCCCTGGCCCAGGCTGCCCAGAGAGGTGGTCGCTGCCCCATCCCTGGCACCATCCCAGGTGAGGTTGGCCGGGGCTCTGAGCAACCTGCTGAGATGTTCCTGCTCAGCACAGGGGGGTTGGAACTAGATGACAGTTAAAGGTCCATTCCATTATTTTGTGATTCAGTGAATCCCCTCCAGACCTTAGCTGTCCAGTTCCTCCAAGCCCTTACTCTGTGCACGCTGGAGCTTTATGACCATTTCTGACTTAGTGAAGTCTGGTGGGATTTTCAGGGGATCATCCAAAGGCACTCCCGGGGGCTTGCCAGGATGCTCACTCAATGTGAACTTGCTCCATGTGGTTTCCCACCACAGGGGGTTCTATGCTTCCAGGTGTCCCCACACCTCAACCTATACCATAACACATCACTTTGCCAGCACCATCTACAGCCACTGGTGGTGGTGGTGGTCATACAGCCCCTCCAGGCACTTTAAAATGAGAAAAAAGCTCTTTAAAAATACTTTCTCTTTTCTCCAGCCCACTTGGCACTCAGAGGAGACCTAGGCAAAATGCAGCATGGTATGGCCATGGAGATGATCTATATCCATGGAGTCCATCCAGAAGAAAAGCTACTCCAAGGTCCATCCAGTAGAGAAGGCCAGAGAAGGGGCAGGAGTCCAGCACCCCTACAGCATAGCTCAGGCAGGGCCTGGGGGCTCAAAGCTGAACTGAAATGAGCTCCTGGTGATCAGCTGTAGAAGAAAACCCATGGAGATGATGGTCAAGGCCAGTAAGGCCGATTAGTGCCCTCAACACCCTTACAGGGCATGCATGAGTTGTTCAAAGAGCTCTCCAGAACATGTCAGCATGGGACCTGAGGAAGACATCCCAGCTCCTGGTGCCCTGAGGTTCCCCAGAAGAACTTCCCCTGGGCTTCTACTCTCTTGCTGCGTGGTCACAGCAGGACAGAGGGATCCCTGAGGTGAGATAAGGGCAGATTGTGGAATTGAAGCAGAGGGAGGTTTCAATCATGAGTTTCCATGTCCTGTCCTCCTTTTGAAACCCTTGTTGGGTGTTTGACTTTGCAGCTTGCTGAGCTTTGCTGTTTGGTTTGGGTGAGCCACGTGGAAGTGCATCCACAGATGGGTTTGTGGTGAGAGAACACTAATATTAGAAAGCAGAGGTGGGAAGGGAAAAACAAAACAACAAAAAAGCCTGAATAATATTATTTTCTTCTGCTTTTCATCCCTTATCTCTTTATCTGCCTGTATAAAGTGTGTTGGCTGATTTGGGATTCTGATGACAAAGTATCTGCCCTCCTCTTTCTGGAGGTAGACGGAAGGAAGTGGGCTAGAGAATGAAGTAGCAGCTCCTAACCTCGGGTCAGGGCCACCAGCTCTATGCTGCAATGGAAAGGGTGGCAGTGGTTGAAGTTGACTATAAAAAGGAGCCCACAGCTGGCTCTGAGACACACGCAGGGTGGAAGAGGTCCCAGAGCAGGAGAACTCTCGTGCCCTTCACGGCGTGCAGCAGGGAGGTTGCCATGGCCTTGGCCAGCTACACTGCACTGGTAAGAGCTTCTCTTTGGTGTGCTGGGCTCTGTTTGCTGCAGGAGGAGCAGCAGAATGCAGATCCCACCATGCTGTTGTCTGCCAGGAACCCTTTGGGGCTGAGTCTGTCTGATACAGCTTTCTGCCCTCAGCTTTTGCACGTGGGTTTGGCCTGTGGGTGAGAAGGGGGTGATGGGCTGTCCATTATTTCTCTGCAAGGGCAGCACTGCTGGAGTGGCATGGGGAGAGACAGCCCTTTTCTCTGGCAACAAGGCTGGGATTTGGCTGTGAAGTCAACATCTGTGTGTTTAAGTTTCAGCCTGGGTGGTATTCTCAGCACTGGCAACTCCAGTGATTTTCTCAAAAGCTTTTCATTTATCTGTCTCCTCTTCTTAAAACCCTGGAAATGGCCCAAGAAACTCAACTTTCATCAAGAAATGGGTTATTTCCAGCAGATGGCTGCTAGGTGGCCAGTCTTCCTTGTCCTGAGGAAGCATGTGGCTCTACTAGGTCTCTAAGCTCAGGCATGGGGGCAGCTGAGTCCTCACCCCACCTTGTAGACCCTAATGTTCACCTCGGAGGAGGACTCTCCTAACTGCTTGGAGAGATGCTGTTCTTGGTGCAGAGCCAAATCAGAAGCTGAGTTTAGCCTCCATTGTGATGGTTATTGATGGATGATGATGGTCAGCATCGTTGTGCTGTCTGCTCCTGCTGGCCAGTCTCACCCAAGCAGGAGTATGGTCCATTGATGGTCCAGTGAGTCAAGACATGGCTCTTTGTGCTCTCTCTCTGCTGACTGGCCAGAACTAATGTCACCTTTCTCTCCCAGTTCAGGTCCCTGCTCTTGGTGCTGGCTCTGGCACTCACAGTGAGGAGCTCACCCCATGGGAGGGTCGCCCATCCTCGAGCCCACGTGCACGGGGGCTCTCTGAAGCCTGGTGAAGATTGCCTGAACCAGAAGGATCTGGAGTTCCCTACCACGGTGAAGGTTGACACTCACATCAGCAGCTCAGGTCATGCCTTGAGTATGGTCTATGACGTCAGGAACAGGTCTCTTGCTCCTTGGGATTACAGGTAACCCTTCTGCTGTCCTTGCAATGGCTGTGCTGCAGAGCTGGTTGGTTTTGGGGTGAATAATGGCTGGTTCTTAGCATATGCTTGAGGGCCTGTGAATATTGCAAATGCTTCTTGACACACACATTTTGATGTTGGGTGAGATTTCTCTGAGAGAAACTGTTTGTGGTGCAACGAGACTTCATTAGAATGGCTTCTAATCATCATAGAATCATAGAATTCTTTTGGTTGGAAAAGACCTTTATGATCATTGAGTCCAGCTATTAACCCAGCACTGCCAGGGCACCACTAAACCGTGTCCCTCAGCACCTCATTTCCATGGCTTGGAGACCCCTCCATGGATGGGGACTCCACCACTGCCCTGGGCAGCCTCTTCCAGGGCTTGACAAACCTTGCAGGGAAGAAATTGTACCTAATTTCCAACCTAAACATCCTCTGGGGCAACTTGAGGCCATTTCCTCTTGTCCTACTGCTTGCTCCCTGGGAGGAGAGATCAATCCCTACCTCCCTTCAGCCTCCTGTCAGGAGCTGTGCAGAGCCAGAAGGTCTCCCCTGAGCCTCCTTTGCTCCAGGCTCAGCACCCCCAGCTCCCTCAGCTGCTCCTCCCCACACTTGGGCTCTAGACCCTTCCCCAGCAGCTTCGTTGCCCTTCTCTGGCCACGCTCCAGCCCCTCAAGGTCCTTCTGGGAGTGAGGGGCCCAAAACTGACCCCAGGATTTGAGGTGCAGCCTCCCCAGTGCTGAGTACAGGGGGATGATCCCTGCCCTGGTCCTGCTGGCCACACTAGTGCTGACCCAAGCCAGGATGCTGGTGGCTTCTTGGCCACACACTGGCTCATCCTCAGCTGGCTGTTGTCCAATATCCCCAGGTCCTTTTCCACCAGGCAGTTTTCCAGCCAGGAGCATTGTATGGGGTAGCAATAATG